GAGTACATACCGTTCAGAAGGGATTACACAGCAGTGGATCTCGCATACATCGTCAACAACAGAATCATCTGACACCACGGAATACCAAGGTCAATAATCAGTGATAGAGACAAGCTCTTCACATCAAACTTTTAGACAACGCTATTAGCCGCGATAGGCACAAAGCAAAAACTATCGACAGCATACCATCCACAGACCGACGGACAAACAGAAAGAACTAACAGAACAATGAAGGCATACCTTAGAATCTATGTCAACTACCAACAAAACAATTGGGTATAGCTACTACCTATAGCACAGATGGCCTACAACAACAAAATATTGGAATTAACAGGAAAGACACTATTTTACGCAAACCACGGGAGACACCCAAATCTCTTTACTAGGACATACCCAAGTTAGAAAATAGAAGCAGCTATAGCCACGGCTGAAGAACTTAAGAAAATACATGAAGAACTCTGAAAAGCACTTAAAAACGCTTAGCAGCAAAGCATCTTATATGTTAACAAAAAACGAAAAATGGCACCTTAGCTAAAGAGGGGGGATAGAGTATACCTACTTACAAAGAATCTTCGAACGAAGCGACCAAGCAAAAGACTAGATCACACCAAGGTCGGACCATTTTTGATTCTCGATTAGAAAGGACTAGTAACGTACACACTTAATCTACTACTAGATGCAAAGATACACCTAAGATTCTATATTAGCCTATTAGAACTAGCAGACCCTGAAACGCCACTACAAAAAACATTTCACTACGAACCTGAGGAAGAAAACGAATTTGAAGTTGAGAAAATCCTCGCACACCGCGCGACAATCCAAGGAACCGAATACCTAGTCAAATGGTTAGGATACCCAGACAGCGAAAACACATGGGAACTGGAGGACAACCTATCTAATTGCTAACAATTACTTAAAAAATACAAAAAAGAACTTACTATTATGAGGAGAAAACTGGAGCATTGCTAGGATTCGAGGGCGACGCTAAGGCGTCTAAGGACCCCAAAGTACTCCACATAACCGGCGAAAACCCCACTAACGCATCCGCCGCGGGGCAGTCCAAGGACTCCTGCGCATCCACGTCATCACCACTAGCGCGCAAGGAATTCGCCAGACACATAGTCTTTTTCGCAGCACGCTCTTTAGCTTGCTTTAAAATCCTCTTATTTCGCATCAAGCGCGAAATGACTTAAGCTAATAGCTGCTTATCCTTATCTACCTTCTTTTAATACTCTTCACAAGTCTTGTCTAGAGACACCTACGACATGTTCACACATGGGTGACCTAGACGAGTGCACTCCGAGCACTTCAAACGCTTGCCATTGACTTCGGGCATCGCGACGCACTGACGGTTGTTTGCAAAACAATAATCGCAGGGGACGGGCGCAGGGAGACTGTTGCGACGAATCTCAAGAGCAAGACGAAGATGTTCTTTAGACCTAGGGGCGGACATGGTTAGCCACAGGCATACGGAAAAGCTTGAGGACAAGCTTAGGAAGGAGGGAGATGGTGTTACGAACCTGAGGGAGGAAGGCACAGCGGTTAAGTTAAGGGAACAACGACAGCCAGTCAACCCCGCCCTCTTTGTAGAGTAAGGGAGGATCACGTGACCTCCTTGGACCTCTATGCACGAGGAAGGGTCTTGGCAGACTCCTCGTACATAAGCCACAGAGGAAAGCCCCTCGTGCGCCAGCCACCGAGCAATACTCGGACTCCTCTGACCGAGGGCTACGAGCACCATAGGTATATAGCATAGGCAATGTAGCCCTTATGGCTCATTGTGTTCAATTACTTAAGTTACGAGTACAAGTACAATACAAGAGTTACTTGCAGAGACACTGTTCATACCACCCTGTTGCTTCATCCGCGAAAACCAACCTCAAGAGTCTGACACCAGAAGTCTTATATTACTTCCACTCAGATCCTACTCTTAACAAATAGTTGTTCTATCGCTCTTAGGTTTTCCTACATAACTCTTATTCTTTGTACGAAGCTATTGTACTTCTTATTCTTACTAGGCTAGTAGCCTGCTTAATACTTAAGCAACTCTTTGTTAAGGGAGTTCTTTAAGTAGTTAATCTTTTAAGCGTTGTTTATAGCGCTTAGGCCTACTTCTTAGAATTTTAAATTAAAGACTTAAACGTGACAAAGGAACTCTCCCCTTCCTTGTCTAGTCGTACGAAGGTAGTGGAGAGCCTTCTGCTTAATCGTAGGGTTTTAGAAGAACTTATCTAACTAGGACTATAGTCTAGCTATTGTGGCTGTTAGAGTGCTATTTATAAGAGCTTAGACGTACGCATAGAGCGCATTAAAAGCTCGTCCTTTCGTACGTGTGACAATATAGTAGGTTTTAAGTTCCTTACTTAGGTAAGCTGCTTTGTCTATAAAGAGCTTAGCCTATACGCGCATCTTCCACTAAGTGTATTATTTATAGGTACTATAGTTGAACATGTCTACGTTAAGGAGTCTAGGCTTAGGGTAACTTCGTACGGGTGGGGCTAGAGCAGTCGCCTCGCTCGTTTGGTTAGTCGTATTTATAGCGCTAACGTGAGCTCCTGTAGGAGGCGGTGTTGTACAGGCTTCTTAAAGTCGTCTTATTAGGAGCTTAATCTAGGACATTATTTTCTAGTGTGCGACTGCCTATCTCTTAAGCTATTCAGCCTGTTGTACGTTGTTAGCTATTAGCTTGTTAATATTTCCTCTTATTATACGGATAAAGGCGATAGATTCTTCGTCTAGCATAGCTAGGCTAGAGGCTAGTAGCGTTCTTTGTAACTCTATCTCTTTCTTCTTGCGTTGTTTTAGTCTCTCTTGTGTCGTACGAGAGAGATTGAAGAGTGGTGATCTTTCTTCTTATGTTATGGGCGAGAGAGGCCTAACTAACGAGTATGCATTCACCTATTGTACAGAAGAAGAAAGATATAGAAAAGAACTATCTAGAGGGCCCTCCTTTTATAGTTGTTACTCGTACGAACGCTTAGACCTTTAGTCTTCCTCCTTACTTAAGCTTGTTTGTACGTAACTAACTACGTCATTTAGTCACGTGACTAAAGTCATGTGATTCACTGCCATGTGACCTGTAGGTCATGCCTCTCTGGCGTAGCCCTTTACACTAAAGACGCGATAGACGACCTTTATAGGTAGATCGCTAGCTAAAAATAAGAAATCTAACTAAGTTTAAAGAGGAAATAATTATTAAGCATATACTTAAGCTAGTTACGTGTAGATTTCCTCTTTAGCTTATAGACGTGTCTAATATAGCTAATTCCTTACGCGCTAAGCGTAATCTAGACTAGGTTAGCTAAAACTAGCCTAGTACTTTTGTTAAACGTGAATCTAAGCTTGTGACGCGTTTTAATCGCAAGTACAAATATAAGAGAGCCCTCTGTGAGGATCCTAAGACTATCTAGGTCTAGTTTAACCTAGTAGCCCGCATAAAAGCCAAGTATAGTATTGTAGACAACAACACGTATAACTTTAATGAGACTAGCTTTATAATAGGCTAGATTGCCCTTAGAGCTGTTGTTATAGCTTTAGAGAGACGTGGACGACTAAAGACTATCCAGCCTAGCAATAGAGAGTGGGCAACAGTCATCTAGGGCATCAATGCGACCGGGTGGACGATTCCGCCCTTTATCATACTTAAAGCGCGTCACCACCTCTTAAGCTAGTATAAGGACGGCGATATACCCTAGAACTGGGTTATTGGAGTCTCTAAGAACGGCTAGACGACCAATGAGCTTAGTCTTGCGTGGCTAAAGCACTTTAATAAGCATACAAAGACAAAGAAGGTTGGTATCTACTGCCTACTTATTATTGACGGCTATAAGAGCCATAACTCGCTAGATTTCTAAAAGTACTACAAAGATCAGGGTATTATCACTATTTGCATGCCTCCGCACTCGTCCCACCTCTTGCAGCCTCTTGATGTGGGCTGTTTTGCCCCTTTAAAGCAGGCCTATGGGCGCTAAGTCGAATCGCTCATGCGCAGCTAGATCAGCCACATCACTAAACAAGAGTTCCTATCTTGCTTTAAGCGGGCTTTTGACGCCTTATTTACAGCTAGCAATGTCCAAGGAGGGTTTCAAGGCGCTAGATTGGTCCTATTCAACCTAGAACAGGTCATATCAACGCTTAATATTAAGCTACGCACTCTATCACCCCTACCTATTAATAACCAGCCCTAGGTGTTGCAAACGCCTAGCAATACCTTAGAATTAGGGTCGCAATTGACGCTAGTAAAGCAGAGGATTTAGAGGCATACAAATAGTTTGCCAACGTCTATTGTAGAGGCCTTTAAAAAGGTCTTAAAGGGGGCAGCGATTATTGCGCACAAGCTAGTGTTAGCGTAAAAGGAGATTGCTAAGCTTAAAGTAGCAAATAAGGCCGCAACGCGACGAAAATCGTATAAAAGAAAGCGGGTTTAGGCGGAGGGGACCTTAATAGTTAAAGATAGGGCACGCTTAACTACTCTCTAGGACTTTAGGGTGTGTAGTGATGGGAAGAAGTTAAAGAAGCAGAAGCGCGCTGAAGTGGGTGAACCGTCTTAACGGCGGTGTGGACAGTGCAATGGGACTAGGCATAACGCGCGAACTTGTAAGAATGTAGCAGAAGTAGTCTCTAAATAGCATTTTGTATTTTATTGCACTATATTGGCTAAAGTTGGGCTGTTTTAGGACATAATGTACTGGTTTTGGTGAGGGCTTGGCAAAAGTGGCTCGCGAACCCGTGTGGCTCGCGAAGCCGTGGGGTACGTTACTAAGTGCATTATTAGATTTATTTAAACTTAATAAGATTGTAGGCTGCTAAATAGTGTTGCTAGAAGATCTTTATAGTTCTGCGCGGTGGGATGTTCTACCCACGGGGAGGGAGGTTAGGACATGGTGTTTCTGTGGGTTAGTCTAGGGGGTAGAGTGGTAGGCTGGAGATAGGTGTGTCAATTTGTGTATGGAGTATTGGTCAGATAAGAGAGAGAGAGAGAGAGATGGAGAAATGAACGAAAAAGCGGTTCGTTGTTGCTACAAGCTAGCTGCTCCACCAGCCAAGTGTGCCGATACTCTCTCCAGTATGCGAATTCCTGCAATACTCAGGATGGCTATTTCCCCATAGATAGGTCAATATAATAAAGTAAAATAAAATAAAAATGGATATCTTTGTACGCCAAACACCATGCCCATTCGTTAGCAAGAAAGACGCAAAAGAAGAAAGAAAACGAGTCTACTTTGTTTCTAAACGACCCAAGTCAACCATGAGGCAGTGATAAACATCATGGGAACGACTATCGAGGCATAGCCATTTACAACGACATTGTGTGGCGCGGGTGACGAGGTGGTAGCGTACAAGACCTGGAAGCCTATGCGCTGGTCTGGAGCGGTGGTATTGACGCAATTTGTGCTGTTGACTTCGGGGACGTCTTCTGGCTCCGCAAAGGTGATGTCTGCGCACTGATCACGACTTAATTAGCATCATCTCACAATTTAGAAAAGAAAAACGTGTAAGAAAAAAACTTACGTTGTACAAAGCCGCACCATGCTGCGCAAGCTCAATGACCTGGATGGTGGCATTATCCCCAACCTTGGGCGTGTAGTTGGCGGGCAGCGGGACCTGCGGCAGGCAAAAGGAGCCGCCGTACTCCTGGTTCGAGGGCCCGGTGATTTGGAAGACGGGCAGCATCGTGTGCGAGTAGTTGAGGGGCTCGTTGCCGTAGCCCATGTTGATGTAGATTTGGGCGAGCGAGTGGCCGGGGAACCAGCCGGGCTGGACCGACACAGCACCGCCTTTCAGCGGCCATTTTGTGCGGTTCCGCGACGTGGGCATGCCGCCGCCTGTAAGGTTTTTGTATCAGCGATATGCGCGTAGACTTGCCAAAGACTATAGAAAGACAGGTTTCTCCACGTACATGGGTACATCCATTGCATGCCAAAGGGAAAGCCGTACGTGTCAGACGTCTTGTTGTAGTTGATTCCCAGGGAGCCGGGTGGAATCGAGGGGTCTGTGTCGGACATGGTGCCGTTTGTGTGGATGTTGTCGCCTCGCCATGGGGGGTAGACGAGGACGGTATGCGCGGCGGCCAGCGACCAGGTGGCGGCCGCGACGACGAGCTTTGCAAGATGGACCATGGTTGCAATTAATCCGGAATAAATAAATAAGAAAAAACTAGGATAGGATCCCCCCGTCTCGGGTGTGCAGTGTCGTGACTCGGCGGCGGGTCGAGGGTAGTAGTGGTAGTCTTGGGGGGCGGCAGCGGGCGTGGCGGGAGGGGAGGGGCTCTCTCGTCGCCATTTTGAGGGCCAGCGATAATATAGGCAATGGATGGGAGCAGATGCAAGCGTGCAGCATCGGGGGATCCACCAGGCGTGTGGCCAGTCGAGAACAGTTGCAGGTCAGCCGTCGATGGCATCGAGTAGACAGCCATGCTAGCATATTGGCGGCGACAGGGGCGCGCAGCCACTGAGCGCGCGGAGGAGCTGGGCGAGCCGTGCGGGAGGGAACGCCGCTAGAGGCCGTGCCGCTGCTGATTGGCTGCGCCCCGTGTGATGGCCCTGCAGCCTACAGCCAGGCCTCCTAAGCGCCCAACCCACGACGAACCTTTTCACCATCGCCTTTGCTGCTCCTCTGCCTCCACCTCCACCGCCGCCTCCACCGCGTCCACCACTCCCACTACCGCACGCCTCACACATGGCCGTCCCATCCATTCGGTCGGCCGCACGCTCGGCCATAGTGTGACCGCGGCGTGACACTGCTGGTGCAGCCGCTGCCCTTCACTCGACCGACCCGACTCGACTCGACCCGCCCCATTCTTGCCACTGACACTGATACCGCCACAGCCACACGACTACTACACCCACTCCCGCATTACACATCCTACGCCTACATATGCTGAGCACAGTCAGCGTCGCCACCGGCCTGCCCATCGCCGCGTGCGCCGCAATATACGTCTCAACACCAACCGCAACATGTCTCCAATCCTGTGCTGATGCATGCGCCTGCTGCTATCCTCATAGCCGTGCATCCCCCCCACTGCGTCCCGGCATCGTGTTTAGCCGCATCGGATTGGGAGCTTGTTTCTTCGGCCTCCAACCCCCCTGGTCGCTCCATGGCGTCCGCTGCACCCCACCGGTGCGACGTAACCGACTTGGCCATTTGCTGCTAGCATCGGCGTCGGGACGGTGCGACGCCCTTGCAGAATGTGCGTGCTCCCCATCCAGAACAAGAACGACGTTTTGCGCGGGCCCGCCTTGCAGTAGCTAAGCGCCATCGCCTGGCATCCGTGTTCCGTCGCTGTACCTATGTGCAATCATGCTGGCCGCCGCGAAGCACGACTTGGGTGGCGCCTTGTCAGTCAACGGCACGCTTGCATACAATCGGGCTCCCGAGGCCAAAAAAGCCCAACGCTGCCATGTGCATTATCCCCCGCGCATAATCTGCTCTGCCTCCCATACCCATTTGCTACGATCCAGTAATATTTCTAAAAACACCGCAAACCATCTACCCAACGATTCTGTCAAGCTTACAACTACGCCTTCATGCACCTAGCCCCGCCTCCACGGGCACGTTTACACCCAACCGCCGGAGCCTGTCCGTGGCTGCCTCCACCAGCATGTTGTTCCGCTGGATCAGCTCCTGCACCTGCTCGTTCTCCGCCTTTCTCGAGTAGCTCGGTATCTTGACCCCGTTGCTCCTCGCCGCCTCGTTCTCTCCTGCCCGCTTAGCCGATTTCGTCGCCTCTTCAATCTGCTTCGCTTGCTCTCGATGCACTTCCTTGAGCCGGTTGAGACGCTGCCATGCAGGGCGCTCGCTGCCGTCAACATCGCCGCTCAGCGTCTTGCTCCGAGGATCCACCGCGCTCTCCATGACCTGCAGTTCTTCAATGTAGTTGCTTTCCTTTTCGCTCAGCTGACTAGACCCAACGCTGGCCATCTTGCGTCGGAGCGCCTCGTACCGCGCCTTTATCTGCTCCTGTCGCGCCTTGACTCTCTCCATGCGGTCATCGATCTTGAGGCTGCCATAGCTCGATCCGTCATCCGAGCTGGCTTGCCTATTGTACGTGACGTCTTCAATGTTGGATGCAATCTCAGACGTCCTAAACACCTGGTCCCTGAATTCTGCTTGGAGTCGAGTGGCGCGGTTGAACAAGTCGGATACGGCGTGCTGCAGTTTGGACGTCTGCGCTGAAAGTGCGCGGTGCACATCCATGAGCAGCGAAAGGTTGGCTGGAGACAGCCTGATTTCGTCATGAAGTGTCCCGCGGTGTCGTGCGGGAATGTGGATAGATCGAAACAAATCAAACGGTTCGTAAAGTTCCTTTGGCGGCTGCCACGCTTCTCGCACTTCCTTGTGGGGTCCAGCAATGGCCATGTACTCGGCCAGCTCTTCTTGAGTAGGCAGCCCATCTTCAGGCGCATCAAGAAGCGCTGCGTGGGGCTCGCCGTTGACCGTAGTAAGAAGAAGGTAACCCACGTTTCCGTCCTCGATAACAGCTGCTGCCGTGACTGCTTGCTCGGCCACATTGCCAGTAACCCGGCGTTGTAGGCACTGATCCACCACAGTGCTCGCCGATTCGAGCACTCGCTTCAGACGGAACGCCGAGCCCTGTGTTTGCGATTGAGACAACTCGACCTCGACTTTGCGGATCCAAGGCTCCATAGAAATGTAGAAGACGCCGCTGGCATGCGACACAAAGAATGAAAAGTCGGTATGCACATCTGCTGTGATGCTCTGGTTGAAGGACGACACTTCGTCCTGGACCAAGGTGATTGTTTCTGCGATGATCAATTGGTGTCCCGATGGTTGTGTGACTTTAATCTCGTCTTCAGGTGATGGTAGCCACCGCCCAACAATCCCCTCGAGATCCAAGCACACGTGCACCTTGCTGGTATCTGTGAGCAAGCACACAACCGCTGTTGGCAGTCCTTCGGCTGCCGTCTCTTCGTCCTCGCTTTCGGATAGCGTCTTGAGCGAAAATACAATCATATCGCTGAGTTCGAAATCCTCCACCTCGGGCGCCATGGCAAACGGTCCCTGCAAAAGGGGCACGGCTGGCGCGCTTGTTGGACGGACAAACACCTTGACAATGTCTCCTCTCTGTCGCTCTTCAATAAAAGGCTCCTCGTACAAAATGTCCGACAGCCACGAGACTTGCCTCTCTGCTGTTTTGAGTTCATCCTTGGACACGTGCTCGTCTTCAGACGTCTCCGTGTAGTTGATGTTGATGGACGACGTGAGCGTCTCCAGAAATGTGTGGCTGCCCGGCGACTCGACCAGCTGCCATTTGCTCGGCAGCAACGGGCAGAGCGCATACACGTCACCAGACACTGTTGCGATCCAGAGCGTCATTGGTGCCCACCCGTGGACCCCCTCTTGTTCCGGAAAGTCGCCAAAGCATGCGGATGCAACCTCGAGCTCGACCGAGTCGGGAGAAAAGCCCTTGGAGGCGCCAAACTTGGATGCGCTCAAATCATCTTGATCGCTCGTCGCATTCGCCAGCTTGGGCAGGTCGATCGATAGCGCAGGCTCGCTGAAGGTCGTCCTGTCGGCGCGATTGATCTCCCAAAGCCGCACCACGCCCCCCTTGGTAATTGTAACCAGACAGCGTCCGTGGTACCCCAGGGGATGCCAGAGCACTGTTGCGACCGGCGACTCTTCGACAACATGTACCGTCGGTCCCAGCTGAAAGGTCTTTGGCTTCAACGGGCCCTCTTCACCGCTTTCGAGCAACGACGGGTCGGGGAGATGTACCACATGTACCGTGTGCGATGTGGATATGGCGAGGTAGTCTTCGTCGGGCGAGATGGCAAGACGCGTAATGGGAAGTGGAATCGAGACTCGAAGGGTTCGGTATGCGGGCTGCGTCTCTTCTTTCAAATTGACCAAATCTGCCCACCGGATCTCGTTTCCAACCGCGACAAAAATCTCTGAGCCTCGCGTGGCAATCGTCCTTCGCTGGCCTGGTTCCGGTCTTCTCGCTACAACTCCATTGCCGTCTGTCTGCTTCGGCGCAAACAGATGATAGCCTGGGCTCGGGCGGCTGAGCCACTCTGGGGTATAGCTTAGGATTTTCGGCATGATGTAGACTATCCCGGGCGGAGCTGCGAATCTCGGATATGCACCGGTGATAGCCGTGAATACTGGAGGGTTTGGAGGTGAGGGAATCGCATGGGCAAACAAAAGTTCCAAAGCTCTGAAAGCGCGCGCCAAGACCGACGCGTCTGGCAGCTCCAAGCTAACTCCGGATCTCAGAACCACACTTCTTCACTCACACACCAAACTCTTAGCACATTGCTCGAAGCCCTAAATCACGGTCGCATTTAGAAGACGCATTCTCAGGCCTCGTAGACACTGCCACCATGCCCGCGATTCGAAGCACAATCGACCGCCTCGACAAGCCAAGCTCATATGCGACAGCAAAGGTACATGCGCCCATGGCCCTCGAAAACATTTCGCAAATACTAACACGCAGTAGAAGCGCAGACGCGACCGCAACAACCGCGAAGAAGACCGCCCCCGCTCACCCTCGCCTGAAGACAAGCTCAAGGACGCAACCACGCTCTACGTCGGCAACCTCTCCTTCTACACCACCGAAGAACAGATCCACGAGCTCTTCTCAAAATGCGGCGAGATCAAGCGACTGGTAATGGGCCTTGACCGCTTCCAAAAGACGCCTTGTGGATTCTGCTTTGTCGAATACTACACTCACCAGGATGCGCTCGACTGCATGAAGTACATTGGCGGCACGAAGCTGGATGAGCGCGTGATTAGAACGGATCTGGACGAGGGCTTCACAGAGGGAAGGCAGTATGGCCGTGGTAAGAGCGGTGGCCAAGTGCGCGACGAGTACCGGGCTGAGTACGACCCCGGACGGGGCGGCTACGGACGCGCAGTCGATGAATACCACGAGGCGCAGTAGGACAATGCGATTTCAGGGATTAAGCAGTGAGTTGCTGCTATCGGTGATCACGATCCACTCAAAGACGTGGGCTCGGCGTGCGGTGCTCTTAATCGCGACCACGACGGTGACGACACAAAGTCCCCGGACATTACAGGACGAAACCCACGCTCGTCAATAAGACGGCGAACAATGTTATCGGGCTAAGGACGCGCTTGCAATCTTCCCGGGGTTGAAGAATCGTACGAGAGGAACGCGATATCCATCATCCGACACTGGTCATTAGTCTTTTAGTTTTAGGTGTGCACGCATAGGAGGCAACGACACCATGTCAGATGCCTTCAAAATACATCAACATGCTCAACCGCCCATCGCTGAGTATTGTCCAAATGATGTAGTCTACAAACACAAGTCTTGAGTGCGGTCTAATGTTATCCACGCCTCACTTGGTCCGATGCGCCAGCTCAAACTCGTGTCGTCTTTCTACCGCTTTCAAGACCTCACCCAGCCACCAGACATGTATGCGCGGGTCGTCCGTCAGCTCTGGGTGAAAGCTGCACCCAAACACATTGCCTTGTCGGACCGCTATTATATCCTCTGCACCTGCGTGCTTGTGTTCCTGGTTCTCTTGCAATGGCGCCGCATCCGTGGACAAGGTAGCCATGATCTCAACCTGGCAGTCCAACTCCTTCCTCGCCAGATCGTCGGCTGGTGTCTTGCTAGGCGCAATGACGGTGTCCTCCCTCTGGCTCTCGCCCTCCTGTATGCCCACCGCCTTCTTGCTCGGTAGTATCTTCTCGACTACCGGCGCGCGGATAAAAACGCAGCGGTACGGATCGCTCTTGCTGGCTTCCTTTGATGCTCCGAGGAACGGCAGATTGAGATGGGCTTGGAAACTCTCTTGCTGTCTTCCGAAATGATTTCTGTTCACTCTCACATCCAATCCGCCGATCAGTTCCTGCCCACCCTTCTTTGTCCGGTTTGCGCTCTCTGCGAGTAAGATCAGGCCGGCGCATGTCCCCCACGTAGGTTTGCGCTGGACTTTGACAAAGTCGCGCAAGGGCTCAAGGAGGTTGCTTCGCGCAGCTACGAGCGACATGGTCGTGCTCTCGCCGCCAGGTATGATAAGGCCGTCGCATTGCTCGAGTTGGGCCGGGGTGCGGACTTGGATGAATTGGAAGAGTGGCGAAGCGGCGATGTTGGAGGCGGCGGCGCGCAAGAGTTGGATGTGTTCGCTGAAAGCGCCCTGCAGGGCAAGAACACCAACCGTAACCTTTTCAGTGCCAATGGTGACCGTCATGTTGAAACGCTCCACACTCCAATAAACTCCGGAACAAGGTAAAGAAGTACCAGGAAAAACGAAAACTCCGTCGAGACTACACACTGCGGCATAAAGCAGGATCGGAGTCACCAGACGGAAAGCGACGGGAAACGGGGCAAATGCTTATCGATAGACCCCAAGGATTCCCCGCCCATAATAGCGGCATTCTAGACAAGTCGCCCACCTGGACCTCAAGCAGCCCTAACCGATCGCTTACCCGACAAGAAGCCCCGGCACACGGTCTTGATCATCGACTCGACTCTCGGGAACCCCGCTGATGCCGCGAATGACGGCCATGGTATAGGGATTCCCGAGCGTGGCGCATCACAGAGCCTCGATCCCGTCATAGAAAAGTCACCGAAGCCCATATAAAGCCCGGGCTGTTATCCTAGTGGGGCTGTCAGCTGGCCTCCATCCAGGCTATATCAGCAGTCGTACCGCCGGTTTCTTATCGTTGCTAGCATTGCTGCGTTTGAGGGCATCATGGCCGATGGAGGCGACGGCAGCACGAGCCGCGCTCTCACGTGCTGGCTGCTGGACACCAGGTCGATATGGCCTGGCACCAAGATCACCGACTCGGAATATGTTCGTCTACTCCGTACCGAGATCCTTTTACGCACTGTTAATCCTTTCCCAGGCCCGAGAAGCCCTGTCTCTCATCAGCCCCGAGGAGCGTGAGAATGTAACACGCAAGTACCACATAGCTGATGCCCGAATGAGTCTTGGCTCCGCACTGCTCAAGCGTCTCTTCGTCCACAAGGCACTGGGCATTCCGTGGAAGGACATCCGCTTCGGCCGGAAACGTGATCCTAAACACGGAAAGCCTGTTGCGCTGCTGGCTCCCCCACAACTTGGCGAGGCACCTCTTGAATTCAACATATCGCACCAGGCTGGTCTTGTTGCCTTGGTTGGGTGCAAGACAGATGAGCTAGACGCAGAAGTAGGCGTGGACATTGTCTGTGTCAACGAAAGAAACGAGTACCGCGTTATCGACCAAGAAGGATTCGACGGCTGGATAGACATGTACGCCGAAATCTACAGTCAGGAAGAGTTGTTCGATTTGAAGTACAATGTCGATCCGTTTCCTCTTCTCGACGGCACAATGGTCACGCGGGACATGCTCGGTCGCCATGATCGGTGCTGCTCACGGAGCCAGCATCTTAGTATCATGTTGCCGAGCGGAGAGAGGAGGACGTTTGATTCGGATCTCTTGATCGATGCAAAGCTAAGACGCTTCTACACGTTCTGGTGCTACAAGGAGGCTTACATCAAGCTCGACGGTGAAGCTCTCCTTGCCAAATGGATTCCCCAGCTCGAATTCAAAAACGTTCGCGCTCCGAGGGCGGGAACACCAGCGCGCTGCAGTACGCATGGAACATGGGGTGAACGTGTAACCGACGCAGAGGTCTGGTTCTCGATGAAGAATGACGGAAATGGCCCCGTGGCCGTAAAGGGCCTGAAGAGTGGCGAGAGCAAGAAGCTGGACGACACGAGAGTAGAGATTCAGGCTTTCGAAGAGAACTTTATGATTGGCGTCGCGGCCAAGGAAAGAGAGGTTGCGGTTGTTGATGGAAACAAACGCAAGCTTCCAGATGTACTCACCAACTTTGAGGCGTTGCATCTGGAAGACATGATGAGTGTTGCCAGGGATGCTTGATATGATTGGACTTTTCGCTAGAAAGGTCTTGGCGACGAAGCAGTAGATTTGTTAGACCCCATAGGAAGTTGCAGTATTCCTGACCCACTCAAGCATAGATCCGCAGCAACACAAGTGCAAGTATCGCCCAGAAACCCGCGTCATATCTCGGGCCCTGTGCGCTGTTCATGGCTACGTCAATGTGATATTCACTACTTAGTCCAACAGCAATCCTACAACATCACACATCCATCCATCCTTCCTCCTGCATCCACATAATACCTAATTGAGGTCAGATAGATAAATTTATAAAAGAAACCATGTCTTCCACCACCCTCAACTACCCACTCCTCGCCATCCCAGCCTACTACATCTTCTCGCTCATCCCGCACGGCTACGCAGGCAGCCTGCTCACATCGCACGGGTACAAAGTCAACAATGCGAATCCCAAAGCCTCCATGTCGCCAGACGCCGTCAGAGGCAAAGTCCCAGATACCGTGTACGCCTACCTGCTTACCCCTGCAATGGAAAAATTCCAAATACATCATTGCATTCATTACTAACCTATCCATACTTACGTCTACAGCTTCCAGAAATACCAGCGCGCGGAAAATGCGCATAGTAACGGGATAGAGCAAATGCCGCTGTTCGCCTCGGCTGTGATTGCTAGTGTTGTTGCTGAGCGCATGACGGCTACGCGGTATGCGAGAGAGCTGGTCGGGAGTGATGATGCTACGGGCGTGAAGACGTTTGTTGCGGCTTGGTTTGTGGTTAGAGCGGCGTATTCGGTGGCGTATGTGCAGATTGCGGATCCAAGCAAGAGTGCGGTTAGGAGCGCGATTTGGGCTTTCGGCACGGCGTTGGCGACGTATCAGATTTATAGGGCTGCGGTGGTGTTGGGGTAGGGTGGGAGGAGAGTACTATGAATGGGGTGGGAAGGCTTCGCGGGTTGTTTGCGAGGCTTTGCGTCTATTAAGTACTGTATGTTGATTGATGATTTTGCCTAGGTGCCAGATTTCTACGACTTTTCAATGGACAAGATGTATTCATGCTAAGGATCAATGCTCTCGATAACACACACGTTGTATCCATGTCCAGCTAAGATGTTGAACCTGCAATGAGTTGATTGTACGTAAAGTGAACTCGTAGGTGCACCCTACCTATGCCGCATGCATGAATTAATCCAGAAACAAACAGCACAAGTGACACGGCAAACGGCTATGACGGAGAGCAAAGCCAAGCGTAACCTGCCCTGTTGATTCCCCAGCATACGAACATGACTCGCCGTGGGAAAAACATCCGCTCAGGGCACCAGTGATAAAGAGGGAGAACGCGCAACCATGATAACTGCTAGTCCGTACACGGGCAAATTGCGCGGGCTTCTAATCGCTCTGTGGAGTATCCTGGAGAGATAGCTGACCTGCATCATTTCATATCATCATGGATGCTTATGTTATGACGGCTGGTGGTATAGTAATTAGTCTGTTTTTGATGATGCATGGTTGATTTTCTTTTCTTTTCACCCAGCTCAACGGGACTCTGCAACGCGTTGATCTGGTGATGGATCCGAAAAAAAATCAAACATCAGACACGCTGCTATAATCACTCTTCTGCACAATCACCTTCCAGGGACTTGCGGCTTGCACTAGCTAGAAGGATATGCTGGGTTCTCAAAGGTACTTAGAGAGATACGGCCTCCAACAAAAATTTGGGGCCAGTAGGCCCGACTCCGAATCGTTACTTGTGGACCCGGGTATTCCTATCGGCGCTATTTTCCCACGTGGGTTAAACAAGTTCCTGTTACTAGATTTGCTGAGTGTTCAGCAGTATTAATTGCTGGTGCTTCCAGAAAACTTCGTTCCTGCATCCTGCCTTGTCTGCTTTCCCTAGTCGTTCAATTTTTTATATCTCGAAACACCAAAGGTTTGGTATTGACCACCAAGGATGCGGACTTCAACCCTCAACACAGCCCTATGGCTCGCTTTTGCCAGCTCTTTCACCTCGGCAACGCCTCAATATGCTGCTGTTCCTCCCAAGTATCAGACCAAGACCCAGCTCAAGCATTGGCCTGCTGAAGCTGCCGCTGCGCTCAATACCATGATGGCGCGTAATGCGAACCAGAGCAACTACGCGGTGTTTGACATGGACAACACGAGCTGGCGCTACGATATTGAGGAGTCCCTGATTCCTTACCTCGAGAACCGCGGTGTGCTGTCCCGCGAAAAGCTTGATCCCAGCCTCAAGCTGCTCGAGTTCAAGGACACGGCGAACTTCACGGAAACGCTTTACAGCTACTACAACCGTCTTTGCGACATTGACAATTTCCTGTGCTATCCTTGGGCTGCGCAGGCCTTTTCCGGCCTCACGCTCCGCGAACTCAAGGGCTATGTCGATGAGCTCATGGCGCTGAACACGACGATACCAACAAAGTACTGGGACGGCGACGAAGTCGTATCCGACAACATCCACCCGCCGAAGCCCTTCCGCGGCCAACTGGAGCTGTACAATTCCCTCATGGAGCACGGCATTGCAGTCTACATTATGAGCGCCTCGCACGAGGAGCTTGTACGCATGGTTGCCAGCGATCCCAAATACGGATACAATGTCCCACCGGAGAACGTCATTGGCGTGACCACGGTGCTCAAGGACCCCAAGACAGGCGCTCTCACAAACGCACGAATGCAGATTACCGCAGGCACATACAACGAAACGGCCAACCTGGATCTGGTCGTGACTCCTTACCTCTGGACGCCCGCGACCTGGTACGCCGGCAAGTGGGCCGGCATCCTGACGTACATTGACGAGTGGAAGCGTCCCATCTTGGTAGGAGGAGACACCCCCGGATCCGACACTTATATGCAATTCCACGGCGTCGACGTCGCAAAGGGCGGCGTGCACCTGTGGATCAACCGCGGAGAGTCCATCTTCAAGAAGCTGCAGGAACAAATCAAGAATAGCACGCTTGGCCAGATTGCCAATGGAAGGGAGGTTACCGCGGACAAGAACTGGGTTGTGGTGACGCCCGAGGAGATTTTGTAAATTCCACTTGTAGAAAAAAAAAAGAAATATGTAACAACATGGCTTAATGGCTAATGAGGAATGGAAAATATGGTTTTCGAGAGCAGAGAAAGATGGGCTGAGAGCGCAGTGACCACCAATGAATCTTCATGCACGCGCTACTTGGCTGACATAATCGCTCGGTTGAGCTTCGCTTTCTCCACTCGTTTGCTTTCCCTGTCTCCTATCTCTCGTCTCCGCCTAATACTGCAAATCCATCCTCAACTGACCAGCACTGCGTAGTATCTGAAGATGAAGGTATGTTACAATGCGCTGGCTCTTTCCTTTCCACATGATGATTCCACATTACACTTGACCCGAGTGTCCAAGTCCCTGCTCGCGTCTCGCGCATGTTGTGGTTTGTGCAAGCTAGCCCGGATGTGAGAGGTCGAGCAGGGCTGGAACACGATGCGCGAGTAGAAGATAGCTCTGATGCTTTCTACGAATATTCCAACTCCACAATGCTAGGAAAAAAGGATTCTAACATGAATCCAGGTATATCCAAAATAAAGCACCTCTTTCTGGGTATCTCAAAACGCCATAAATCAGCGATGCATACATGCAACAATGGAAAAATGCCCTCTTAATCCATGAAATTCTCATGCCACGTCTATCTCGATATGTATCCCCTTCTCCTCCTTGACCTGGTCACTTTTGTCTTGCTCTTTTGGGCGGGTGATCTTGGGCGGGTCGGGATTGTGTTTTGGCTCTTTGTACCACACCTTGTTTGGATTTGACAGAATACTCTTCTGTATCACTTCGGTCATGAGCTGCATCACGCTGATCCCACCAGCTTCCCTGACTTGCGGCTTTCCCCTGGCTGTGTAATGTCTGATGAAGGTCCCATTACAATCCGAGATATCATCATCAAAGCTACCGGGAGCCAGCATCTCTTCACGGAAACCCGGCCAGCCCACGGCTTCCTCACAAGGGATGGCCACAATTGTGTCGTTGTAGTCGTAGCGGAGGTACTCGAAGAATGCGCGCTGTTCGTGGCTCCAGTTGAATTTCCATTCTGCGCAGCCCTTGTAGCGTGTTTCGGTTGGACAATCGCGCCACGCTTCCAGCATTTCCAGTGTGTTAGTGGAGTTCTGCGCAATGACGAGGCCGGTATTGAGAACACGCAGACCCTTGCTGTCCGCGCTGATTGATCCGCCACTGCGGAATTCTTCAGTGTCCCATGGAAGAGCTATGGACGTTTCTTCCTTGATGCCCCAGCGATTGAACATCCACTCCAACGGAATTTCTAGATGCGGGACCATAGCGTCGGCGTCGAGGACGACGACGAACTGGTATTTGGGTAGCAGCTCGCGGACTACATGAGGTAGAACCCACGTATTGTGACGATCATCCATGTCGCGGGCTTGGTAAAACATGTATTCATACCCGTGGATCATGGCGTACATATAGTGGTTCAGGATGGAGTTGGACACCATGCCCCCACCTTCTCCACCGATGTGTTCCCAGTCGATTCGTCCAGGATTAAGAAGTTCATTCTTGCCAGTCGGCTTACGTGTGTCGATGTCGACTATCAGAACCTTTTTGCCTAGAGGCTCTTTCCATACCGGATTCTTTGAGCCTTCATGATGGGTACCAGACGGATCAATGTAGGCGGATGCAGCCGGATCGAGTTTTAGCGACTGGAAAAGAGAAGTGATGGTCTCCTCCAGAGTGAGTTGAGGTATTCTGCTCTGGGTATTAGCAAGCGCATCTCACCCTGATGACCGAAGACCCGAAGCGACATACCTATGCGGGTTGTTTCCAATCTCGTTGGTCACGAAGACGTCCTTATTCCGGAATATGTGAACAGAAAAGGCTGCAATGACCACAAAGACGACGGTCGCCACAATATAGACACGATGAGGGGCCAGCATACTGAACGAATGACGAAAGGAATCAGGCAGCGAAGAGGAAAGGAGCAGAAACGGGAGCACATCTAAGACAATCGGATTTTACAGCGGGCGAGTTGATTACGTTGTCGGAACAGATCTTGAGCGCGGTCTTACGGAAACATGCGCGTCGGTGATTTCTCATCATGCCATTCGTTGACAATTGGCGACTCTGTTCCAAGACAGACTAGCGCATATTCGCCTGCTGGATGTGTGCTTGACAAGCTGAGACCTCACATCATTACTTTTTACTAGTTTTCATTTCCTGCTGATCGAGCCAGGGTGCTATTATGCCTCAACTGAATCTTACGGCACGCTTTCCGTATCTGCAAGAGGGTTGCGCCGAATCCTACGTCAGCGCATCCGAATAACGTGTTTTATCAGTAAGCGGCCCACATCAGTAAGTGGCCCACCCCACCAAACCTGACGCGATACTCTCCACAACCACCACTATGCCGCGACAACAACGCTCTGTACAGACTTCTCGTGAAGGTAGAGTTCTTCTAGCATCTCGCGCGCTTCAAGAAAAACGTGTTGTAAGCCAGCGCCAAGCTGCTATGCTATACGACGCTCCACGAACAACGCTCCGACGACGCCTCCGCGGTACCAAGCCACGATCAGAGACAGCCTCCGTCAATCGCAAGCTATCAGCTGTCGAAGAGCAGTCTCTTGTT